CACTTGATCGGTCATATGCATGTCATTTGGCATCATTTTTAAAGCACAACCTAATGGAGATATCAAAAGTTGCTTGAAGAGATGAACAAAAAAAATCCCATTTGATGCGGACTTCATGTTTGACACTGTATAAGGAAGCAGGATGTAGATTTAACAAATTTTAAATCAACCCAAACCCTTGAGAGACTTACCACTCAAATATTTTAACAACTTATCGTTTTTCAAAATTTCTAATCGTTTTGTTATTTTGCTTGACGGGTAGTATGATTGAAGGTCCAATGCATTCGGAGACCTTTTCTCCATTTTCATTAGTGAGGATATCTGGTGATCTTATCAAATAGATTTCACTTTTTCAAGTTTCCGGTTGTATAAACATAAAAACGAGATAATAACTTAGATAAAACAAAAATGCCACTTTAGTGGGGCTACCTCGCATCTGAGGATCGGCGATCTCGGTAATAAAAGACAGTGAAAGTCCAAAAAACGTAATGATACCCTTGAGAAATTGAGCGTCACTGATGTTTTCTAGTTTCTTTATCGGCTGAAGGCCTACTGTGGGGACAATAATTACATGAAGACGAGTGAAGGAATATTAACTTATCTGTCCAGAAAAACAGAAACCATCAACACAATAACAATTCTACTCACTTTGTTGCACGAAGGATTGAATAAATCAATAACTTCTTCGTTGTATAATTCCATAAATTGTGCTGTTACTTTGAATTCTGGTATTTCTGTATGACATTCTTCGGCTTTTAGAATTTTGGAACGAATTCCGTCAAAAATATGGTGAATGGCTCTGGGAATGATTCCTTTTTGTTCGTCATTTAGTTCAACTTCGAATCCTGAACCCATGGTGTAGGTTTTTCCTGAACCTGTTTGTCCGTATGCTAGAACTGTGGCATTATACCTGATAAAAAACTGCTGTTAATGTTCGTATGGAAAATTCAATTATGAGAAATAGCAATCATTTGAATCTCATTTGATTTATAGTATAATATAGTTTTTAAAATCCAGTATAGACATGGTGGAATAGCGGTAAATGGGGACCATGCTGACTTTTGTCAAAATATGTTTATATAAGTTGAGGTTATATTAACAGTGGACTGAAATTATACGAAATTACGTTGTTTAGCGCCCCTGTGAATGACATCTGTTTCAATTTTATAATAAATGTTGGAGTGCAAAAATGAATGAGAAAAACTCTACACATGATCTACATATCTTTATAGATGTTTTAAATTTTCTTATGCTTTTTGGGAGTTGAAAGATTTATTTTAATTTGGGACTTTTCCATTCATTATACATATTAATGGATATAGAGGGGAAGTTGTTTTTTTCCGGTAGGCATTTGTCCAGATCCTACTATGTATTGATGTTGGGAGAGGTGAACACTGCTTTCAAATTTTTTCAAAAGAATATATTTTGAAAATCGGTTTTTACTTTATAATACATAATGTTGTATTCTGATTAATAAATAAAAAGTAAAAATTGGTTTCAAAATCGTTTTCATCGACATTCCTTCAACTTCGTGATATCGAGCCAACTAGTTGATGAAATCTACTTTCATATATAGCAGCACATTCAGTAACGAACTGCTTCCTTGAACCATCACCATTTTCTTCGATGTTCAGTAGAGAGACCGACTTTCCAGTAGCTATAATCTAAAGATTACCTTTGTTTAAATCTGTATAGAACGGATTACAGTTTTTTTTTTTAAATATCGATAAATTCGGCAAGTTGTTTTTCAAAAATTATAATCCGATTAGCTTGTTAGTTTGCGGTAACGTATTGCAAGAATCCTTATCCACAAATACCGAGAACATGGGAGATCAAAGCAAATCTGATACTATCTATGGCTTTCTATTCAAGCGTTGACGTGCAGCTATCGAATTTGTGAAATGTGCAATACCGCTGAGACGTTTAGCTGCATCATCATTTATAGTCTGTTCAAGCGTAAAATCTATTGGTATTCTCTAAAATGGTTTATAAGTTCTTTTAATTCCAAAACATTCAGATAGTCCTGGATGTGTTTCGTCAACATTCTTCAAATTATCGTAATACTTAACACACCATTAAGCATGTTTTGACTGATTAACGATAAAAAATAAATTTGTGATTTTTGGAATTATATGCTCGAACATTTCAAAATTACCCATGCGTATGCTCATTGATAACATGATGTGATGATCAACTAGTTGGATGTAGGTCATGTATAACTGAACAGTCTTGTTTTATCCATGATTTTTTGATACGAAGGGAGCAGTCGCGACAATACCTGATTCGATAATAATTCAGCAATTGTAGTTGAATGGGAAACCTATAGATTTTGATATTGTAAAAGATCATCAAAGATAAACATATACATTTATCAATTATACATTTTATTCATTAGAATAAGTGTCAATAAATAAATAAAATATCAATCATAAAATGTTATTTGAACATTTTGTCAATTTTACGACTTATAATTTAACAGTCTAATCGAGTATCCTATACTATACAGTATCAGCAATAAATTACAGATGACAGTTTCACTGGAAGTTGTCATTGTAAAATTCTTGCAAACTATAATAGGGTCTGCTCGCAAGAAGAAGAAATGCATAATATGCGATCATAGCCGTGGCAGTATCAAGTTCCCTTGAAAAAATTCTCATTGCATAGCGCCCTGAGGAGATTTTATTCTTCAATTAGTTGAGGTGTGCTTCAAACTTCAATTTACTGTCAATATAAAGGCCCAACAATTTTGCGCAATCTTTATTTTCAATCTTCTCATTTTCTAGAGGCATATCTTCTAGAGTACATATGAAAGTTACTGTATTTGTTTTTTTTTTATATTGAAATAGAGAAGATTCGAGTCGCACCAAGACTTGATTACATTTATGTCTCTGATTATCTTATTATTCAGATCTTCAACAGTTTTACTATGTCGTGAAATGGTGGTGTCATCTGCAAATAAGGTAATTTTTCCAGAAGTGTTTATACACAGTAAATAATTTATATAGACAAGAAAAAGAGTGGGTCCCAAAACCGATCCTTGTGGCACTCCATAATCTATATTAATATATTTTGAAGTTACATCACTTTTTACGACTTGACTGCGCCCAGTTAGGTAGGATTCGAACCAATCCAAAGTAACTCCCTCACAGCCGTAGCAATGTAGTTTCCGCAAAAGTATTTTGTGGTTTACACAGTCAAAAGCCTTTTTTAGGCCACAAAATACTGCTGCAGCTATATCTCCGGCATTTATATCTGAATATACCTCATACAGGAAGGAAAAAATTGCATCTTGAGTGTTCGTTTTAGCCTGGAATCCGAATTGATTTTCTTTGATGATTTTATGAACAATAAGAAATTCATTGAGCCTTTTTTTCACTAGTTTTTCAATTATTTTTGCTAGGGTCGGGATAAGTGATATTGGACGATATTTAGAGGGATCATCTAAGCTACCGCCTTTGTGCAAGGGAATTATCACAGATTTTTTTTAAGGTTGAAGGAAATTTATCGTTGCGAAACGAAAAATTAATTAATGCGACAAGAGTTTCAAAGGCTACTCTTGGAAGATTCTGAAATATATTCATGGATATGTCATCGTATCCAGATGATTTTTTATTCCAACATATCGGTTGGCTCATGCCATACAATTTTTTTTGGAAATGTTGGTCATGAAGCGTGTGTCAGTGACGTTCGTTCCAAAATTGCCGAATTTTGATCAAAAACCGCTGAGCAATTGTTGAATGACATCAAAGGCAATGCATATTCGCTTAAGAGAGTCATAACTGGTGACTAATCATGGGTATATGGTAATGACCTCAAAACCAAAGTCCAATCGTCCCAAATGTCAAGGTTTTGCTCAGTGTTTTCTTAGATTACCGTGGCGTAGTGCATCAGGAGTTCTTGCCACATGGTCGTATGGTCAATAAGGGGTACATATTATATTGAAGTAATGCGCATCTTGCGAGAAGCAATACAAAAAAACGTCCGGTATTGTGGTTTTTGCATCACGATAATGCACCTGCTCACTTGTCATTGTTTTTTCGTAATTTTTTGGTCAAAAACAACACAGTAATCATGCCTCAGCCACCGTATTCACCAAATTTGCCCCCTGCGACTTTTTTCTGTTCCCAAGATTGAAGAGAGCCATGAAAGAATGGCGTTTAGCGATGATTGAGAGAATAAAAACCGGATCGCGGAGAGAGCTCGAAGACATACCAAAAAGTGCATATCAGAACTGCTTCGAGGATTGTCCATTCTCTTTAATCAGTCATAATTGATTTACAGATAGGAAAAGATCAACCAGTCATGAATTTCCAAGGTTTTACTTTTCTTTCGATTCGGAATTGAGGTGTCGAATTAACAAGATTATCAAAAACTTCAGTTTTAAGATCCAGAAGAAGTCAGAATGGAAATAATTCTTGATGTTAGAATTTATCTCACTTTATAAAGACAATTTTGTTCTGTTCTTCAAATTTTACATTTCTATTGGTTGACTTTGATAAAATACAAATAAAACGACTTCAAAAATAGAGAATAACAACAGTTCTGAAGGAAAATTCATAAAAATATACAAACAAATTGAAATGAAAAAAACAGGCAGCGTGAAGTTACTTTCGAATTGAAGTTTCATTGCTGGGGAGACTCTTTCTGGTTTCAAGAGTAGGAATAGAAAACAATTGCATGGATGGCGCTCTGGGATGAAAATACTTCAGGAATACTTCCTCTCGAAATTCATCTCAATTGTTTCAACATTAATCCACAAAGAAATGACATGGTTAACAGTATTTGTTAACTTTGGAATTTCATTCTTCAAATGAAGCGACCTCTCTTGCGAGCTTTTATGTAATTACCGTAAAATTTGAGAAAAGTGATTACATTTATAGGTCATTGTTTAATGGGTCACGAGCGTATAGAGGATTTCTTGCAGAAGCTTCTCGATCAATTCCGTACTATAATTCCTTGTCAGAACAAATATAATCAAAAGAGCAGTGTTGTTTGGTATTTGATTGAATTCATTGAGAGGATTTGTTTTCAATATAATAGGGAGGAAACAAAAAGCATCCAACAGAAATCGAATATTTGAATTGAAGGGGTTATATTTTTAGGAGTGATCAATTTTCGTGAAAGAACGTTTTTGGCTTTCTACTTCTTCATCTTGATACAAAAAAATGTGGGAATCTTCCAAAGAAAGGAAGGAAGTAATCAATTTGAAAATAAGTAACCCTATACATGGATGTGTAAATCATGCAAAGAAGTAACTTTCAGACACAAACTGGAAGAAAGCCCTCCTAAAACAGCTACTTTCATATAAACATTGAATTACACGAAAGAAAAAAAGTCTTTCTTTATATGAACACTGAATTATACAGAAGATACTTTTCTCTACTCAGTTTGTATTCCAAACATTCGTTATGGAATAAAATCAGATATCATTCACAGGAGTTTTCTTTCCCAAAAATAATCACTCCTAAAAATATAACCTCTTCAATTCAAATAAGATTCCTCTTGGCTGGCATGACATTACGATGTCATCGATTACATAAGTAGATCAAATTTATTCCGTGACATTAAAAATCGTAATTCATGAATGAATTGTGTGTATTTTCTATAATGTTATCCAATTTGGTACTAAAGAGCCTCAAGGCAAGTGTCTTACGGCGAAACATCGATGTCTACCAGTGAGGATGACAGTGTTCCATGTAAGTGCAATTTGTTTGTTGTCCGCTTCATCCTAGTTCGAGGAATGATACTCTCAAGGAATTCGATTTTCAATTATCGGAAATCATCGACTTTATGTTGATGATAAAAACTACCTGGCACTGACGAGTGGCCAAACAGCCCGAAATCGGTCTGCAAGTGTGTTCCAACAATTGAAAATCTATTGCGGCATTTGTATCGCCAACAACATATGCAGGAATAACTCCAGTGAAGAATCCTGCACTGACACCTGACGGATATAATCCCTTTCGTGGTATTAGCCAGGGGAGTAGTTGTTTTCTGATAGGTGTCAGTCCATTATCCTACAGTGTAGGGAATTGAGACTGGCCTGAACGAATTGTTCCTTTAGATGATTTGAGAAATCGAATAGGCTTGATGACAGTATCGAGGCGAATACTAGAATACTAAGAAAATAAATATATCGATTATAAATTTTCAACATGTTCTTAGCTAGATATATTTAAATTTTGAAGTTCTATAAATAATCGGGAAAGTAATTTGAAATACTTTGCAGAAAAATTGATGATGAGATTGTGAAAAAAAAAATGTAAAATTTCAATTATTACTAGATCTTGAATACAATTTTATCTTCAAAACACATTTTAGATCTTTGATAAAAACTTCGAACCCATATAAAGCACATATTAAAGTAAGTTTTTTTCATGACATTTTCTGAAGAAGTTGAGAGATATTTGTCAATTCTGTTTGGATCGATCGATTACTAGAAATTATTAAATTCAGAAAGTCGTTAAGGTGTGTAAAATGATAATATTTTTATATTTTTTTTCATGTTGAGGTCATTTATTTTCACTTGCTCTTTACCGGCCTGTATTTGATTTGTTAATTGACTTTTTGGAATGCCATCGACTTTTTCGACCTCAATATTCATCGCACCTTTCTTAGCATTCAAATATTTTGAAAATATAATTTAGTTTTTACAGAATTTGTCAGAGAAAGTCGAGCGGTTTTGTTCAATTTTTCAATTAAAAACCCCGTAAAAACTATGTTATATTTTCAAGTAATGTAAATAATGTGTTAACGGTGAGATGAAAAAAAAGTCAAAGGGACATGTGACCATCACAAAAAAATATTTTTCTACATTCATTTCATACTGCTCGAAAATTATTTGCCCCAGAGCCAACTTCAGGAATCGCCATGAAAGAAAAACGTATTTTTGTGTGCATTTCGAATTCGATAAAAATTTGGTGCTTGTGCTCTTAAGGAAGGAGTGCGAGTTCCCAAGCACCGATCTTCAAACCCGCCAGAAACTAGCAAATAGTCACTCACTATTAATAAGGACAAGTTTGAATACAATAAAGGCAAGTAGATATATTGAAAGTCTTACCCTTCAAGGGATGATTCGACAAGGGATGCAACACAAGTTTCATAAACTTCATCCTGACTACATTCCATATCGAATACATAATTGTACGTGAAGGACTTGTCACTTCCAAGAGTAACTTGTGGTTCGCCTGGTGTGACTGTGGTGCAAACATGACACATGTCAATTATTTCGCGTGGAGTCTGTGGGCGTATCCTAGAAATAATAAAAATAATTAAGTAAATGAGGTAGACATGGTGCATGTGTTTCACAAAATAAAATTGAAAGACAAAAAGATGATTGAAAATGATGATTACTAACTATAAACTATATACAACTTAAACATGAATGAACGAAGAGAGGCCCAGACGAAAACAAAAGTATCCGTGTTCAATATACTAACATTTAAGTTTCTTCAATTTGCTCTTCGTAACTACTTGTTTCATTGTTCAGAATAATACAACGGATAAATTGTTCGAAATGACCTCAATCTAGTTCCATACATTAATACAGTTTACTCTCGAAAGCGTTCCAAACATTATTCAGCAATCGACATTCTCGAAGAATTCTCTGTCGCAGGTCTTCTAGATTTGTAGACTTAGTAGAGTACACTTTCGAATTTGGGTGTCCCTACAGAAACAAGTCCATCGGTGTGAGATCAGGTGATCTAGCTAGTCACTCCACTGGGTTCCTTCTGCCGATCCAACGCATTGGAAAACGTTTATCCAAAAACTATCTCATCAGATAATCAAAATATGGGGGTGCACCATCCTGCTGGAATGTTATTTCATTTTCTACTAAATTGTCATCATTTTCTAAAATTTGTGTAATCATAGGATTTACACAGTCTTGTAATAGATTTAAGTATGTGTCTCCAATAAGATAATGTTCAATGAAGAATGGTCCAACAATATGATTACCAAGAATGTCGGCCCAGACATTCAATTTTTGTGGAGTTTGTGAATGTGTTTCCTTCACCAAATTAGGATTCACATCGCTCCAGTAATGACAATTATGTCTATTCACTTCACCATTCAACATTTCGTTTGAAAAACATGTATTGCACAATCGGTTTGGGTTATTGGTCATTTCTGACAGGACGGGATACTTTATATCTTCTGTTGTGACCTAAACCTGAAGTTCAAAACTTATTCATTAACTGTTTAACGTATTGATGGTTCACGTTGTGGTCTAGATAATTTGTATTATAAATCCTTGCACCAGCTTTATAACATTCATTATTTCGATAATAGATTGCAACAATTACTATTCTTTCTTCAGCAGAATAAACCATGTTGGAACTGAATGATAATTCGTGAAGAAGTGACACTGGTCAACCATCTCCTTTTCGTTCTGAGACAATTATATTCAACAAAAACTACCAGTGCAGGAAAAACATCTTCAATAATGTAAGGTCCGCTTTCGAAAGTAGACTGTATTATTGTATGGAACTAGATGCCATTGATATTACTTTTGTTGATTTCCTCAATAAAATGAGAGAATTTTCTATTTTTCCTTGAATAAAACGTTCAATATTTAATTTCTCAATAACGAATGAACCTATTTTGAAAAAAAAATACAGAAGGGACAAAAGACTTTTCGAATGATGTATCAGTCGACCCCCCATGCCGTTGAAAAAATAGGGGGGGTAGTTGCTGACCGCAGGGGGGGTGAAGTTTCGGGTATGATTTCCATATCAGAATTAGTCCCCCTATAAATGAAAATTGACTTTGAAATTTTCGATTACACGTCCGTTTCTGACTTACAGGAGGGCTCTAGTTTTCGTTGGGACGTCCTGTATATCAAAATTATTTGTGAAGAGACTTCACTATTGAACGTTCATTGGGATGAACTGCAGGGCGTTCTCAATACTCATATAACTTATATTTATCGTTCATTTGCAGATATGAAACTGCTAATTACTCAGAAACGATCAGTTCGATTTCCAAAAATGAAACAGTGGTGAGTAGAACATTGAAAGGCCTATCAAGAAGAATTTCTTGAATATAGTCAAATAAACTGATGCACTTATAACTGAGCTTTATCACTGGAAAATGGGAATTGAAATCAGTTACAGATTTAACCTGAACTTCTAGAGGTATTTCACGATGAAAACCTTCACAGCCACATAACAGAATGCAACAATTTTTTTGAGAAATCCAACTTTCACAGTATGCAATATAAACACAGATGGAGTAATACATATTTTTCCGTTTGGTGAAAGCCATCATCTCATGTACAACACTCATATTAGCGGTATACGGTATTATAATAATAATCATTAAAAAAAAATGGACATCTCGACTAATTCCGGTAAATTTCGTGAAATGAAGATTTCCATCACGATCACACAATTAAGGAAATAAGGTCTAACATTTGCTCAAAATATTCTTAAAACATATCCCCGCTGATATCTTCATAGTAATCGCCAGAATGCTTCAACATACCGCAGCTAAGGACTCCAGAAAACCTTTAGCAACACCCGGGGTATATCAGATTCCTTGTAGCTGCGGGTCGGTCTACGTGGGAACCATGAAACGAAGTATAGGTATAGTTCAAGTAAACGATATAGTGCAACCTACCTTTAATAATATAGTTAGGGAGCATTTCCGCGGTCAGTAATTTGATATATTGTTGTCCGGGTTGAATCGCGTCTGTAATTTTCATCGTTTCGACGTTTCGGCTCCTGCATTGGAGCCATTTTCAAGAATCACTTGGAACTGTACTTAAATGACTCGAGGACGAGGTCGCAATCTCCCTTGCCCCCAAGTCTCGTTACTAGCTCTATGCTTGCTGTTTTCAGCTCTGAGCGATCCTTTGTTTGCAAGCATGTTAGGCATACACATTCTTGAACCATCAGTCCACCCTTTCGTAACTGTGTCATGAATGTCATACCAAGTTTCGTCCAAACAGGAAATTGCCGTTGTTCTTGTCTATATGTAGTTATTTGTTTATTATTCTAAATTTAAATCCTAGTTTCTCTATCCAATTCTGAAGGGTTTTGTGAAAGCAGCTCACGGGAAGTATTCAATTTCTTCCTTATGATTTCAGTTATAGGTTCATAAGGTTTGTTTTTGACTATTTTACGTAGAGTTGAGAAAGGAATTTCAGTCAAATCTGATGTTGCTTGTAATAGTTTGTTTCCCTCGAAACGAAACTTGAGATGTAGATTCTTATATGCATTGAAACATACTCTCTGTGTTTCAATATTCAAATGCATCCGAATCTTATTTACTGGTATCTCTTTTTCGCATTGTTCACCATCGCTATTGGAATCACTACACTGGAAAAAGTCTGCGGTTTTATCACACTCGTTATTACTATTAGTACTTGTCTAAGGACGCCACATTTTAAACAGATAACAAAAATTTTAGGTAATTATAACTGCACCAATATTGAATTTCAGCACTCGAATCGCGATCAGTTCTTGTACTGAACACGACGGCGATAACCTTTCCCGATTTTTATTCGTCACATGACTTCATGTGACTTATGTGACTTCGTAACATGACTTCAAATTTAACTTTATGACTCTTCAGCCAATCATAAAAATCGGTTGGTAAAAATTATCCAATACGGACCGCCAAGTCTACGGTCCTTGTGGACTATTTCGCTGCCGGTTCATTTCCATGAATTGTTTTTTTTTGCCTTTGAGAGTGCCGTCATCTTTAAATATGCACAATATCGTTTACTTCGACTATACCCGTCTGTCTGAACACAAGAGAAATAGTCGATTCGGGCAAACCAACAAATCAGCTGTAGCCCGAACATGCTCTCCAACATGCCCGAACATGCTCTCAACAAAGAAGCCACTCACATCATTTTATTCTTAGATGCAGTAATACTCGATGGAACTCAAAATTACTATCCAAGAGTATATAGAGTATCAATAGGAATTCAAAAACAGGGATAAATTCAATAGAAAATAAGAGGCAATGAACATTAATTGAATCTGGCTTACAGGTACACAAACAAGGTTAGGTAATCCAATTGAGAGAAATCAAGCCACGCCCACTAATAATAATACAGAACTCGAGTCAAATACCAGCATCGTAGTTACCGCGTTCGGAACGGAACCAACATCTCTGGCACCAACTCGGGCACTGCGACCGTTACCACATTGCCTTTGATAATTTCTACCGTGGTGGTAGACGAAACTTCAGGCATAATAACCTGCAGACCACGGCTAAAAGACCCGGAAAATAGCTTTCACACATTTATCTTCGTATTATTGCAGGATACCTATCGAATATAATCCAACGCTCTTCGTGGTATTAGCCAAAGGAACAGTTGTTTTCTGATGTCAGTATTAATCCACACTGTATGTGAGTTGAGATATGCCTGAACGAATTATTCCTGTAGATAATTTGTTATTTCTCTCAATTATGCTTTTGTGCATTACCAAAGATGAAAGTTATAAAAACCCTGATCTACTCTTCAAAGTAAAAGGTGAAACTGGAACCTCTGGCGTAGAATGAATCTAAAACAATCACTTTTCCAATCACCATAAATGGCAACGCGCGTTTCATAAACCAAGTTGACGTCTTCAGCAGATGAAGTTTTCTCTATTTTGTGAGCATGTTGTAATTCCTAACTTTCCCTAACACAACTGAAACGTCTTTGTAAAGTTTTCTTCTACTATTCAACAGAAAATATTTCATGCCGTTTGAGCAATATCTAACTATTGAATACATTAAAATATCTAAATGAATCTTTTCACAGATATAAGAAAAACAACTGATTTTGAGATGGAGTTGAACTAACTAATCACTGTTTCATCAGGTTTCAATAGCATTTGTTCCCATTGTGACATATTCTCCACTAACCTTCATAACATTATAAAAATTGCAAACGTGTACTTGAAGTAGGTAATTAGAATTAGTTTTTCTTTTTGTTCATTTTATTTTTCGTTGTTTATGGTTAAGTATTGTGATATTATATTGTCCTGTAAATGGGTAACTGTTGGACAACACATCTATTATTATTATTTTCCTTAAAGATCGTAGGTGAAATTTATGTCAGACAAGTTCTTTGACAATTTAGACGAATACATTTTATCCATTATCGATTTGTACATCAAACAATGAATGTTTGATGTACAAATCGAAAAGAAAAACTGATTTCTATGATTACATATTTTCTTAAATAGTTTTCATTGATATTTGTTAACGTTATCTTTTTTTTTTCATTTGTATTTTCCCCCCTGAATGAC